CCACCATGGCTCCAAAGAAAGCTCCTAGTGCCAAGGCTGTGGTAAAGAAGGTGAGAAATATGATTGAATTTAAGAAAAATATCATTGAAAAATATGGTAGTGGCGTACGTGAGGCCGAACTGGCCATATCTTCAATCGTGGCCAAGAAAAAGGAAATCAAGGAAGCTGTTGTTGCAAAGGGAGTAACTATGCTGACAAAAATGAGATCACCAGTACTCGAAGATGCTGAGAAGCTATTACTGGTGTGGATAAATGCGAAACAATTAGCAGGAGATAGTCTTATGCAGTCGTTTATTTGTGAAAAGGCTAGGCAGTTGCATGACGATCTGGTAAAGAAATTGCCTGCAACAAGTACTGATATTTGTGAATTTAAGGCCAGTAAAGGCTGGTTTGAGAGATTTAAGAACCGTACTGACATACACAGTGTGGTAAGGCATGGTGAGGCTGCCAGTTCAGACAAAATTGCAGCTACAAAATTCCTAAGTGAATTCAGGAGTACATAGAGGCTGAAGGACTGAAACCTGAACAAGTGTTCAGTTGTGACAAAACAGGCCTCTTTTGGAAGAAAATGCCAAAGAGGACCTACATTACTCAGGAAGAAAAGGGACTGCCAGGACACAAGCCTATGAAAGACTGGCTGACGCTCATGTTCTGTGCTAATGCTAGTGGGGATTTCAAAGTGAAGCCATTACTAGTGTACCATTCTGAAAATCCCAGTGTTCAGGAAAAACAATGTTATAAAGAGTAAATTGTGTGTGTTTTGGAAATCTAATAGTAAGGCATGGGTCACGAGGGAAATTTTCGTCTTGTGGTTCAGTGAAGTGTTTGGTCCCAGTGTGAAGAATTACCTCCTGGAAAAGAAATTGGATCTCAAGTGCCTGCTTAGTTTCAAATTTAGGTTGGATAAGTACATGAGTGGGAGGGGTTGGATTTGAGAGGGACTTGCACATCAGAGCTTATTTCTTGGGTGGCATTGAAAACTGGGTTGGGCAAATGTTTGTTAGTGGGATGAATTGTGAAGGACCTGCCTAGTATGGGCCAGCAGGCCTCCTGCAGTGTTCCTCCTTTCTTATGTTCTTATGTTCTTATGGACAATGCACCTGCTGATCCTCCAAACTTGGATGACCTAATTCTGCAGGAGTTTGGGTTCATCACAGTAAAGTTGTTGCCCCTGAATACCACTCCTCTCCTCCAGCTCCTGGACCAGCAAGTTAAGGACAACAATGGAAATAAGTTAGACAGTCCTCGATGACGCACTGACTTTCTTGGCTTATCCTGGGTGGCTAACCCTCCGGGGTTAAAAATCCGAACGAAATCTTATCTTATCTTATCTTATCTTATCTTATCTCTCTTATTTCAAACGTTAGAAAACTCTACAGCAAAGAAATGTTTGAAAGAGTAAATTTAATAATGTGTGTATGAGTGTGCTGGTACACGTGGTTGAGTCACAGCTCCTGGTCCTGACTCTCAGGTATCTTCTATGTCCTGAACATGTTTCTACCAGAAAAAGGTTTTAATGTTAATAAGAAAACCGACTTTTGTTAATTATTTTATTTTCTTACATAAACAAATTCCCCAAAATTTTCAGAAAATTTAGAAAAATTTTGGTCAAAAATTGCGGAAAAATTTTCAAAAATTTTCATAATTTTTTTAAAAAATTCTGAAAAATATTGAAGAAAATTCCTAAAACTTTCAGAATTTTTTAAAATTTTCTCAAAAAAATCCAAAAAAGAAAATTCTATTTTTTTTAGAAAATTTCCAATAATAAAGTTTTAGAAATTATAAAAAATCTTGAGAATTATAGAAAATTTTCAGAAAATTCTCAAAAAAATTAAAACAATTTTCTTAAAAATTAAAAAAAATTTTCAGAAATTTCTGAAGATTTTAAATGCAAAAAAATTCTCAAAATTTTTAAAAAATTCTCAAAAATTTAAAAAAATTCTCAAAAATTTAAAAAAATTCTCAAAATTTTTAAAAAATTCTCAAAAATTTAAAAAAATTCTCAAAAATTTGAGAAAACTCCTAAAAAATTTAGAAAATTTTCTGAAATTTAAAAAAAAAATTTTCAAAAATTCTCAAAAATATTATATTTTTCTAAAAATTAATTAGGTACCAGAAATTATACGTTAATTAGGTACCAGAAATTATACGTTAATTAGGTACCAGAAGTTATACGTTAATTAGGTACCAGAAATTATACGTTAATTAGGTACCAGAAGTTATACGTTAATTAGGTACCAGAATTTATATGTTAATTAGGTACCAGAGTTTAAAGTTTAATTAGGGACCAGAAGTTATACGTTAATTAGGTAAAAAGAAGTTATATGTTAATTGGTACCCGAAGTTATACGTTAATTAGGTACCAGAAGTTATACGTTAATTAGGTACCAGAAGTTATACGTTAATTAGGTACCAGAAGTTATATGTTAATTAGGTACCAGAAGTTATACGTTAATTAGGTACCAGAAGTTATACGTTAATTAGGTACCAGATGTTATACGTTAATTAGGTACCAGAAGTTATTCGTTAATTAGGTACCAGAAGTTATACGTTAAATACGTACCAGAAGTTATACGTTAATTAGGTTCCAGAAGTTATACGTTAATTAGTTACCAAAAATTATACGTTAATTAGGTACCAGAATTTTTACGTTAATTAGGTACCGAAAGTTATACGATAATTGGGTGCCAGAAGTTATACGTTAATTAGGTACCAGACGTTATACGTTAATTAGGTAACAGAAGTTATACGTTAATTAGGTACCAAAAGTTAAACGTTAATTAGGTACCAGACGTTATACGTTAATTAGATACCAGAAGTTATACGTTAATTAGGTACCAGAAGTTATACGTTAATTAGGTACCAAAGTTTACGTTTTAAATTTGGTACCAGAAGTTATACGTTAATTAGGTACCAGAAGTTATACGTTAATTAGGCACCAGAAGTTATACGTTAATTAGGTACTAGAAATTATACGTTAATTAGGCACCAGAATTTATACGATAATTAGGTACCAGACGTTATACGTTAATTAGGTAACAGAAGTTATATGTTAATTAGGTACCAAAAGTTAAACGTTAATTAGGTACCAGACGTTATTCGTTAATTAGGTACCAGAAGTTATACGTTAATTAGGTACCAGAAGTTGTACGTTAATTAGGTACCAGAAGTTATACGTTAATTCTGTACCAGAAGTTATACGTTAATTAGGTACCAGAATTTATACGTTAATTAGTTACCGAAAGTTATACGTTAATTAGGCACCTGAAGTTATACGTTAATTAGGTACCAGAAGTTATATGTTAATTAGGTGCCAGAAGTTATACGTTAATTAGGTACCAGAAGTTATACGTTAATTAGGTACCAGAAGTTATACGTTAATTAGGTACCAGAAGTTATACGTTAATTAGGTACCAAAAGTTAAACGTTAATTAGGTACCAGAAGCTATACGTTAATTAGGCTCCAAAAGTTATACATTAATTAGGTAGCAGCAGTTATACGTTAATTAGGTACCAGAAGTTATACGTTAATTAGGTACCAGAAGTTATACGTTAATTAGGTACCAGAAGTTATACGTTAATTAGGTACCAGAAGTTATACTTTAATTCGGTACCACAAGTTATTCGTTAATTAGGTACCAGAATTTATGCTTTAATTAGGTACCGAAAGTTATACGTTAATTAGGTACCAGAAGTTATACGTTAATTAGGCACCAAAAGTTAAACGTTAATTAGGTACCAGAAGTTATACGTTAATTAGGTACCAGAAGTTATACTTTAATTATGTACCAGAAGTTGTACGTTAATTAGGTACCAGAAGTTATACGTTAATTAGGTACCAGAAGGTATACATTAATTATGTACCAGAAGTTATACGTTAATTAATTAACAGAAGATGAGCATTAATTGGGTACCACATGTTATACGTTAATTAGGTACCAGAAGTATACATTAATTAGGTACCAGAAGATTTTTCATTATTTAGGTACATTAAATAGGTACCGGAAGATCAACATTAATTAACTACCAGATGATGAATATTAGATAGGTACATTAATTAGGTACAGGAATATCTACATTAATTAGGTGCTAGATCTCTATTAATTAGGTACTAAAAGCTCTACTTTAATTAGGTGCTAGAAGATCTACTTAAATTAGGTACCAGGTCAACAATGTTTAGTTAAGAGAAATACCTTTATAATTAGGTACCAGAAGATCTACGTTGATTAGGTATCGGAAGGTTAACATTAATTAGGTACCAAACTCTTAGTAATTAGGTACCAGACTACTTGTAATTAGGCACCAGACTCGAGGGTACCTACTGACATGGTAATTAGATATCTACTTATCCAGTAATTAGGTACCAGACTCCAGGGTACTTGTGGACTTCCTGGCAATTAGGTACCGCACTCCAGGGTACCTGTGAACCTCCTGGTATTTAGGCACCGGATTCCAGGATACCTACTGACCTGGACGGTGTACTGGCGGTAATGGGGTTGGAATTAGGTAGCAGACTCCAGGTACCAACTGATCTCTTACACGAGATACCAGACTCCTGGTAGTTAGGTGCCAGAGTCCTGGCAATTAGGTACCAGACTCCGGGGTTCTGTGAACCTCCTGGTAATTAGGTTCCAGACTCCAGGGTACCTATTGACCTTTTAAACGAGGTACCAGGCTCCTGGTAATTAGGTACCAGACTCCAGGGTACCAGTGAACCGCTTTGCTTGTAATAAGGTACCGGACTTCTGGGTACCTACTAACCTAAGGTAATTAGGTAGCAGATTCCAGGGTACCTCCTTATGTACTGGTAATTACTCAACAGACTCCTGGTAATTAGGTACCAGATTCCAGGATACCTTCTAACCTCCTGGTAATTAGATACGAGACTCTATGGTACCTACTTACTTCCTGGTAATTAGGCAACAGACTCCTGGTAATTATGTACCAGAATCCTGGTAATTAGGTACCAGACTCCAGGCTACCTTCTAACTTCCTGGTAATTAGGTACCAGACTCCAGGGTACCTACTGACCTCCTAGACGAAGTACTCTCGGTACTGGAGGTGGAATTAGGTACCAGGTGGAACCCCAGGTACCTCCCACCCCCAAGCAGGCATCTACTACCCCCTCCAGTAGGCCTACCCACTCCTATATCCACATTTATAGGCTTAGCAGCCACCAGACCCCCCTCTACCACCCCCCTGGCAGCCCAGCCTAGGCCTACCCCATCCCTCAACGCCAGCTTACCCCGGCCTATGCCGGCCATATGCCTAAAAAATTGGGCATAGGCCTTCCGGTAGGCCTGGTTGCTGGCGCCGTAGACCAGAAAATTAACCCCATATTGTATCCAGTAAAACATAAATATTGCTATGCCTATAGGCACGTCGTCGCGGTCGGTAGCTAGGTTCACGATGTTGTAGAGGCAGATAGGTACCACGCAGACCAGGAAGAGCAGCAGCAGGGCAAGTAGGAGCCCGGCAGACCTCAGCATTCGTCGGTACCTACGCCGTACTAGCTCCTTAGGCCTATGAAACAAAAAAAAAGAGGCCTATTTAGGAATCCAGACTTCAAGATGCCACAAGCAGAGGGGTGACTCCTGCAAATAATTATGTAAACAGATGGTTTAATATAATAATAATAATAATAATAATAATAATAATAATAATAATAATAATAATAATAATATTATTATTATTTCTAGCAGTAGATGGTTCAACTTATACAGACCATAGCTGACACCTATGACAATACTACTACATAGAATGACCTTTGTGTGGAAAATATTTTAATCTTCGTAAGCTATAGTGCCTAATAGGTGTTTAATGTATCGATATGGGTCAAAAATGTATTTGAAAATGGAGTAGAACCAACAGGGTTCCCGCTGCACCTGCGCGGGTGTGCGGAGATAAGATAAGATAAGATAAGATTTTGTTCGGATTTTTAACCCCGGAGGGTTAGCCACCCAGGATAACCCAAGAAAGTCAGTGCGTCATCGAGGACTGTCTAACTTATTTCCATTGGGGTCCTCAATCTTGTCCCCCAGGATGCGACCCACACCAGTCGACTAACACCCAGGTACCTATTTGCTGCTAGGTGAACAGGACAACAGGTGTAAGGAAACGTGCCGAAATGTTTCCACCCGCCGGGAATCGAACCCGGGCCCTCCGTGTGTGAAGCGGGAGCTTTAGCCACCAGGCCACCGGTGGGAGAGGTCGAGACGGGGCATCAGGGAGCGGGAGTGTTTGTAATGGAGTTAAGAGGCTGGGAAAACATGGGACCAGGAAATTGGCGTTCACGGCGGCCTAAGGAGTAATATAGGCCTCACTTCCTAATAGGTGAAGAGTGAGGGAACAGGATTTACGGGACCACCGTAATAAAGTGGTAAAATGAGTGAATAATGGTAGGACCGGCGGTGACGGGCGCGTCGCCATGGAGTGTCCCGGGGGAAAAATACCCGTGAGTTAATCCTCACTCATCAGTCTCAGATCTTAATGGAGTGACCTCCAATGTGTATAATAGTTATGAGACATTAAATCGTCTTGTAAATTGTAATGTAATTAATGATAATAACACTAAGTTAAGAGAATGCGGGAAGTGAAATAAATCGCCTTGATCCGAGTGAACACGTTAGACCTCGTTGTTCCTGTCCCGAGGATAGTGAAGTTTTATAGAGTCACGACTTCTAAACCGGGACAAACCGACGGATACCTCGTCCTGCTGGAATAAGAACCGTGTTGGTGTAGCAGGACATCGAAATGAGATGGTGAATGGAGGAAATAAGGAGCATCAATCACCCACAGTTTTTTTTTCTTATTCACCGGTACTCTCCCGGCCCGGGTCTTTTGCAAGTAGTGGTGACCCGGCCTTGGCTCCTTATCTGGGGAGTGTCTCGAGACCTAAGTCTCCCATGGGAGAAGGTATAAGTACCCCCTCATCTTTGGGACCAAGTGTCCCCAGGCCTAGCCACAGTCCCCGCCCACACGGGGCTCGTAGGGAGAAGCTAGGCCTCTGGTCTGCACACACAGTTAAGTAACCCTTCTAGTTATAGCAGACTGATACTGGCCAGTTAGGTATGTTGTAATTGGATAGGTTGTGGGTGATCCAGCTACATCAAGTGACCACCAGAGAATATCTGGTAAGTGGTGGGATTATGTACAAGTGTTTTCCTTGATGGATGTATCCATGTGTAACCTACCCCCCCCCTTCATCCAGTTAAACTAATATAATTTATACAGTCCACAATTAATTAGTAGCACCGTACTTGTGGGTGCTGTCCAATCCATACTGGTCTGGGATAGATATGGATAAGATTGTGAGGTCGAAGGAACCACCTGCAGTGACCAGGGGTGGTTAAGTTTTCTCACATGTCTACACGGGGTGACTACGGTGAACAATATAGTTGTTGTCTCCCAAAGAGATAACTGGTATATATGTAATGTTGAGGTATGAATAGGTAATCACCCCTAGAAAATTTTCCACATGTACAAGGTATAACAGTACATGTGCAAGGTATATCAGTACATGTACAAGGTATACCAGTACATGTGCAAGGTATACCAGAACATGTGCAAGGTATACCAATACATGAACAAGGTATACAAGTACATGTACAAGGTATGCCAGTACATGTACAAAAGGGATCCAGTACAAAGTAAAAAGGTTTTTCCCGTACTTTTTCAAGGTATTCAAGTGCTTTTAAAAGGTTTACAGTACATGTACAAGGGAAAACCATACATGTACAAAATATACCAGTACATGTTCAAGGTATACCAGTTTCATGTACAAGGATTACAAGTAAAAGTAAAAGGTATATAAGGCTTTTACAAGGGTTTTCAGTGCATGTCCCAAGGGATACCTAAGTACAAGGTATACCAGGACATGTTAAAAAGGGTTTCCCTTCATGTACAAGATATACCATTAAAATGTACAAGGTATAAAAGTACATGTTTAAAAAAATACAAGTACATGGGAAAGGGATACAAATACACGTACAAAAGGTTTAAAAGTACAGTACAAGGTATACAAGTACACGTACAAGGGTATACAAGTACACGAAAAAGGTAAACTTTTTACACGTACAAAGGGTTACCAGTACATTTTTACAAAGTAACCAGTACATATACAAGGGATACAAGTACCTATACAAGGGGATACCCCGTACATAACAAAGGGATTTAAAAAAAAATGTACAAGGTATACGAACATAGCTGCATCAGTGACATACTTTTAATAGAAAGTCCCCCTTTTTATTCCCCCGGTTTCCACCCACCCCCCAGTCCACTAACAAAACCCCGGATGCCACCCCCCACCAGTCCAAATAACACCCCCGGATGCCACCCACACCAAATCCACACCCCCCAGGATGTGACCCACACCAGGTCCCTAACACCCCGGGTGCCACCCACACCATTTACTAACACCCAGGGTTGACCCCCCAGTCCACTTAAAAACCCCGGGTGTTTACCCAAACCTTCCCCCTTAAAACCCAGGATGTGAAAAACACCAGTCCACTAAACCCCGGATGTGACCCCCAAAAAAATCCCTAACACCCCAGGATGTACCCACACCCGTCCACTAACACCCAAAGGGGTTTACCCCCACCATCCCAAATAAAAACCCAGGGTGTGACCCCCACCATCCCCTAAACACCCAAGGGTGTGACCCACACCCCGTCCACTAACACCAAGGGTGTGACCCACACCCTCCCCCTAACAAACCCAAAGGGTGTGACCCACACCAGTCCCTAAAAACCCATATGTGGAACCCCAAAACCAGTCCACTAACACCCCGGATGTTTACCCCCCCAAACCGTCCACTAAAACCCAGGATGTGACCCACACCAGTCCCCCTAACACCCAGGGTGTGACCCCCCCCAGGTTTTACTAAAAAACCCCGGATGTGCCCACACCAAACCACTAACACCCCGGATGTGCCCACACCGTCACTAACACCCAGGTTTTGGGCCCACACCCGTTTCCCCCTAACACCCAGGGTGTGACCCACAAACCGTCCCAAATAACACCCCCGGATGCCACCCCACCCCCAGTCCTAACACCCCCATGTGACCCACACCAGTCCCCCAAAACCCAGGTGTGACCCCCACCAGTCCACTAACCCCAGGATGTGACCCAACCAGTCCCACTAACACCCCGGGTGTGAACCCCCAAAACCCACAAAACCCAGGGTGAGACCACCCAGTCCACTAACACCCCGGATTACCCCCCACCAGTCCACTTAAAACCCAGGATGTGACCCCCACCCTCCACTAACACCCCGGATGGACCCCCACCAATCCACTAACACCCAGGTGTGACCCAACCCATCCCCTAACACCCAGGATGTGACTCACAAAACCCCCCCACAAAAACCCAGGATGTGACCCACACCCGTCCCTAACACCCAGGAGCCACCCACACCCGTCCACTAACACCCAATGTGAAACCCCCACCAGTCCCCCTAATTTCCCCGGTTTTGACCCACACCAGTTCCACTAACACCCAGGATGTGACCCACATCGTCCCCTAACACCCAGGTTTTGACCCCCACCAGTCCATAACACCCAGGTTTGACCCACCCCCAGTCCCCCTAAAAACCAGGATGGGCCCACACCAATCCCCTAAAAACCCAGGATGTGACCCAAAACCATCCACTAACACCCAGGGTTTTGACCCCCACCAGGCCACTAACCCCAGGATGCACCCCCACCGTCCAATAACAAACCCCCATGGGGCCACACCAGTCCACTAATACCCAAGGGTGACCCACCCAGTCCACTGACACCCCGGATGGACCCCCATCAGTCCACTAACACCCCGGATTTTGATCCACACCAGTCCCTAATTTCCCCGAATGGCACCAACACAAGTCCACTAACACCCCGGATGTGACCCACACCAGTCCACTAAAACCCAGGTTTCCCCCACACAAGTCCCCTAAAACCCAAGGAAAGCCACCCACACCCGTCCACAAAAAACCCAGCATGCCCCCCCCCCACCCACAACACCCCGGGTGTGACCCACACCATCCCTAAACACCCAGGATTGACCCCCCAAACCGTCCATAAAAACCAGGATGCCCCACACCCGTCCCTAAAAACCCCGGATGTACCCACACCAAATTCCCCCTAAAACCCAGGAAAGTGAACCCCCCCCCCCCCCCCAATCCACTAATTTTTCCCGGATGTGCCCAAAACCAGTCCGCCAAACACCAAGGATGTGACCCCCACCATTTCCCCTAACACCCAGGGTGTGACCCACCATTCCCCCTAAAAAAGGGGTGCCACCCACACCAGTAAAAAACACCCAGGATGTGACCCCCCACCAGTCCCCCCTAAAAAAAACCCCGGATGCCACCCCCCACCGTCCACTAACCCCACAGGGTTGACCCACACAAGTCCACTAACCCCCCAGGAAAGCCACCCAAAACCAGTCCACTAACACCCCGGATATGACCCACACCGTCCATAAAAAAACCCCGGTGCCCCCCCACAAAGCTCCACCCAACACCCCGGATTAACCCACACAAA